ATCATTATAAGCATTACAATATTAATATCATCATCTACATCAGCTATCATTATCATTATAAGCATTACAATATTAATATCATCATCTACATCAGCTATCATTATCATTATAAGCATTACAATATTAATATCATCATCTACATCAGCTATCATTATCATTATAAGCATTACAATATTAATATCATCATCTACATCAGCTATCATTATCATTATAAGCATTACAATATTAATATCATCATCTACATCAGCTATCATTATCATTATAAGCATTACAATATTAATATCATCATCTACATCAGCTATCATTATCATTATAAGCATTACAATATTAATATCATCATCTACATCAGCTATCATTATCATTATAAGCATTACAATATTAATATCATCATCTACATCAGCTATCATTATCATTATAAGCATTACAATATTAATATCATCATCTACATCAGCTATCATTATCATTATAAGCATTACAATATTAATATCATCATCTACATCAGCTATCATTATCATTATAAGCATTACAATATTAATATCATCATCTACATCAGCTATCATTATCATTATAAGCATTACAATATTAATATCATCATCTACATCAGCTATCATTATCATTATAAGCATTACAATATTAATATCATCATCTACATCAGCTATCATTATCATTATAAGCATTACAATATTAATATCATCATCTACATCAGCTATCATTATCATTATAAGCATTACAATATTAATATCATCATCTACATCAGCTATCATTATCATTATAAGCATTACAATATTAATATCATCATCTACATCAGCTATCATTATCATTATAAGCATTACAATATTAATATCATCATCTACATCAGCTATCATTATCATTATAAGCATTACAATATTAATATCATCATCTACATCAGCTATCATTATCATTATAAGCATTACAATATTAATATCATCATCTACATCAGCTATCATTATCATTATAAGCATTACAATATTAATATCATCATCTACATCAGCTATCATTATCATTATAAGCATTACAATATTAATATCATCATCTACATCAGCTATCATTATCATTATAAGCATTACAATATTAATATCATCATCTACATCAGCTATCATTATCATTATAAGCATTACAATATTAATATCATCATCTACATCAGCTATCATTATCATTATAAGCATTACAATATTAATATCATCATCTACATCAGCTATCATTATCATTATAAGCATTACAATATTAATATCATCATCTACATCAGCTATCATTATCATTATAAGCATTACAATATTAATATCATCATCTACATCAGCTATCATTATCATTATAAGCATTACAATATTAATATCATCATCTACATCAGCTATCATTATCATTATAAGCATTACAATATTAATATCATCATCTACATCAGCTATCATTATCATTATAAGCATTACAATATTAATATCATCATCTACATCAGCTATCATTATCATTATAAGCATTACAATATTAATATCATCATCTACATCAGCTATCATTATCATTATAAGCATTACAATATTAATATCATCATCTACATCAGCTATCATTATCATTATAAGCATTACAATATTAATATCATCATCTACATCAGCTATCATTATCATTAGTTATAATAATTGATATCATTATCATTTTTTTATAGTTATCATTGCTACTATGACCTTTGCCATTTTTGTTAAACATTATTGTTATTACCATTATCATTATTATCACCAATATCCTTATTGATTTTCTTATTCTTATCATTACTGTGATAGTTATTGCCATTATCACTAACATTATCAACATTATAATTTATTATCATTTTTACTATTGTTAATGTTATCATCATTGCTATTGTTATCATCATTATCAATATACTTATCATATAGCATTGTTATCATAAGCATCATCACTGTTATTATTATCATTGTTGTTGCTGTTATTACTAAAACTATCTTTATTATTATCGTTACTATTGTTATTGTCATAATGATGATGATATTAATGATTATCATTATCATAATTGTTATTAGTATTATCATTATCATTATAAGCATTACAATATTAATATCATCATCTACATCAGCTATCATTATCATTATCATCAATATTCCGATTATTGTCATTGCCACTACTGCCATTATAAGCATTATCATCATGGTTATCATCATCATCATCATCAGTATTAGTAATATTATGCATATGAATATAACATAATACAATTATTGTTACCATTAGTATCAACATCATTACCATTGATAGTAGCAATAATAGTTAGCAGCTATCAATCAAAGCGTTTAATACCCAGCGCGCTCTGGGTACCCTGTGCTGGGAAAGGCTGATCACTGGGCACCAAGTATCAGGTTGTACGCCGATTACAATGAAACGTAAAATGCCAGAATAAAAAAAATGCAGCATAGACATATTTATAGTATGCAAGATGAATTAAAAATGGATGCTCCATAAACATAATGTGGATGTAAAT